TTCACAAAGAATGATAATATTTTATTGAATTCTTCATGATTGAAAAGTTTTGCTTTTTCTATTAAATCACTATTGGTAAATATGTGTAACATACGACTTAACACTGAACCGGATAAACAAAGTGCAGAAACTACACTCAATAGATTTATATCATCATCTTTATCACAATCTTCAATTGTTAATGGTAAATGATCAATATGTTCATTATTATCACAAAATAAACGTTTCCATTGTGTCCAATTATTTGATTCACCATCTAACCAAGCCATTGTTTGTAATAATGAAAATACAACTAAAAAATAATCATTTTCAATCATTTGCTTTTGAAATGATAAACTTTTTGAAAATGTTTTTTCTAATTGAATATAATCCAAAACGGCATAAATCATCTTGTCATTATATGAATAGTCATAAATATCTTGTTTAGACTTTAATTGTTTTTTCACATCTTCTGTAGTAACTTTTGTTACTAGTTGCATTTCTTGTTCTAAATCAACTGTAGTATTATCTTGTAAAATTAAATTAATTTTATGCAATAAACTCGGTGAATATGATTCTAAAAGATTAATATTTGATAGAAAATAATGTTCACAATAACCATTAGAGATTAATTGTTTAACATATGTAATCCATTTCTCAGCTAAAATTTTTGCTAATTTTATTTTATTATCATTTTCATATTGGTTTATATTCATTGTTTCACACATCCATAAAACGGTTAATTTAACAAAATATGATGGTAAATGTTCATTAGTGGTCGCTGCTGATCCATTAGTGTATAAATGTTTGTAATAAATACTATGTGCAACACCGTTTAAAGTTTGTTCATTTAATGAACGTTCTTCTGCGAGTATACGTTCAACAGCGGAAAATGAATAACGAAATTCATAATATTGGCTTGACGTTTCTGTTTTTTTTGACCATTTTGGTATTAAATGCATATAAACCGTTTTAATTTTTTCATATAAAAAGGGTCGATTCTCTTTTAAACGTTCTAAAAATGGTCTTACATCTTTTGGCCAAAAATTTAATTTTATGGTTGGTACGAAATCAAAGCACTAGAATAATAATTATTTGCACGTAAACATGCTGACCATGCATTTTCTTGAAATTCTAAATTCGTTAAATGTTTATATTTAAAATAAAAATTTAAGAAACGAGATATTATCAATTTATTTTTAAATGACATTTGAATATTGAAAGCAGGCGCCAGTATATCATACATCCAAAAAATAGTTTGTGAAGTCGGTACTAATGGCGATGGTTCATCTAATTGTGTATTTGCTTCTAACAATGTGAAAGAATCAAATAGTGTTTGTCTACTTCGATTAAGTAGTTCTAAAAAGTTATTTTGTGCTTCTTTGTAATTTGTATTATAAGTGTTGTTATGAACGATTGTTTGTATAGCATTTTCAAAACTCTTCGGAATAGTTTTAAGGAAAGACTCTGTGACATTCATTTTAAATGCTACACTAGCTGAGTCCGG